AAACAACATGAAAACTGTGCTGAAAAACTTGGCTTATAAACGAGTATATATGGTTCTTAACATATACATATATGTACATTGGCCTCTATCCCTTTCATTATAAATTAATATATTTACATATATACATACCAATAACTATACCTCTATACAGTGAACCCTTGCCACTTCACGCTTCAACTTCCGCGGCTTCACTCTATCGCGGTTTTTGCGTAACAGCGCATGCTCTGTCATTACTGCCACTGATTGGCTCATACTGTACACGCTTGATGCCATAAATAATATAATAAATAATAAATGATAATTGTAACGTCCAAAATGTTTTACTGTATTTTCCTTTTTTCGTTTAATAAATTGGGTAATACGAGTGTAATGGTGACTAAAGGGTGTTTTTTCATGTCCTCTATGCTCTAACTATGAAAATATTTGATTTACAAATAAGGAGTCCTACTTCGTGGAATTTCATTTATCACGGTAGGGTCTAGAACCGATTAACCGCGATAAACGAGGGTTCACTGTAAATAGCTTTTGCCTCCTACTTCTTTCCTCTATTTCCTTTCACCTTCCCACTATCCCTCTTCCTATCCCACTATCATGCTCACCCTCCATTCGGTTCTCAGTAATTCCTCTCAGATACATTACACTTGATCAAACCCCATGTGGTAGTCACCTAATCTGGTGTCAATTTAAGGATTAAGAGTGTTGGGGTGGAGTCTAGGCTGTCAATCTGGAGATAGCCAATGAGACTTCTTTGTGTGGGCATGGCCTTCTCCTAAGAATTCTGGGAAATCTGGTACTTCCTCCCTCGAGGCAGAACACACCTCTCTCTCTCTGTTACTCCCTGGGAGACATTGCAGAAGACAAGCCACATGGACGCAACCAGACCTCGGAAAGCCAGAGAAGCCACAGAGAGACCCCTGCCAGCACGGAGATGCTTGCAATGCCCCTGGATCCAAAGACTTTCTACCCACTGGCTTGTGATGGTTCTGCATTTGGCTTCATTGCATGTGTTTCATGAGTCTGAAGAGGACTTTATAGCTTGGTATCAGTATCAGACATATGGGCTAATGTCAGACTTAGGTACGTGGACTGCACTAGGTTGGGATGTTTTCTCAATGTTCAATTGCTCTTGTATATAAATCTCCTTCATATACACATGTGTGTCCATGGATTTGTTTCTCTAGTCTACCCAGACTAACACACCCCACTAGGCTTTATACGTCCTCCTTGCCATCAATTTTAGATCTCATGTTCCCTTATCCCTGAGTTTGTTGGCTCCCCACTCTCCCCACCTATTCCCTCTTCTCCCATATCCCCCCAGAACTGCCAGTTCCATAATTTTTTCCTGAGGATTGTTCATTCTGCCTATCTTATATAAATAGACATAGAGCAAAAGCAAAACAAAAACAAACAAACCTCCCCAAACAACCCAACAGATAGTTCCAGGTCTGCATGCTGACCCTTATGTATGTTTTCCGATCAAGTCTGATGAAGTGCCAAGCCCTGCCCCCTGAGTCAGAAGTCTATTTTCAGGACTCCTCTGGGACTTGGTTACTTTGCTCCCCTTGCTGCCCTGGTGCACTTCCTTCACACCCCCCACACCCCCACTGTGCATGGGGCAGACTGGGCACTGTGTCTCCAGTGCTGTCCCCCATAGCGCTATGGGTCAGTGAGGGAACAGTATGTCTCACGGTGGGGCCAACCCAATGGTCCTCTCTGTGCATTGGCTGCCCTGAGCAGGGATGTCATCCCCCAGGACTGGTGGGCCATGATGAGGCAGGCTCACTCACATGCTCTCTCTTTCTCTCTCTCCCTCCTTCCCTCCCAGTTCACTCTGAAGTGGTCTTGACAGACCTGCCTCTCTCCCCGGGGTATATCTTCAATGCGGCATTGCCTTCTTCTGGGGAGGAAGTCAACATAGCTCAGCTTGGGCCCAGCTTTGTCATCCTTCTGTTAGCTCGCTTCTTCATGTCAGTATGTTGCCCTCAAGGCTTGGTGCTCTGGGCTGGGGTCTGGTCCCTCTCTTCCTTTCCACAGTGGACTCCTATCGTACTTGTCCTTTTGTGCTTGGCTAACTTCGCTTAGCATAATTTCCTCCAACTCTCCCATGAGACAATGTGCTTCATGCACTCATTGCTGCTTTTTAGGGCCATATGTATGTATATACCATTTGTCAGTTGATGGAAATTTAGATTGTTTCCAGGTCTTCCCAATTGTCTTCATTTTTCTACATCATCAAATCACTGTCCTTTCACATCCCTCTTCATTTGCTCCAGGACAGCCCTGATCTCAGCAGCCAGGTCCAGGTGGGAGGAGGAGAAGGGATGAGAGTGTATCCAAACGACTGTTTTTTCAAAAATCAAATACCCCTTCTATGGAGTTAGTTGTTGGTGCTTGGGCCAGTACTCCATAGCAGTTCTAATTACCAAAGTCTAAATTCAAGCAAACCTTGCATTCTTTTTTTTTAAATACTGTTTTGTACATTCTAAATTCTTGATTTTTTCCACATATATTTCAGAAGCAATTTATTACCTTCTATGAAAGATCCTGGTGGGATTATGATTGGGATTGTATGGAATCGATAGGTTAATTTGGTTTAAATGAACGGTTAATGATTTTAAGCCCTCCAAATTCATTAATATAATTAATTATGTTTTCATTTGTTTACGTCTCCATTTTTCTCATCACTCTCTAGTTTTCAGTGTGGCAGTTTTAGAAACTTTTGTTAAATTTCTTCTGGAAATGTTTTATCATATTTAACACTATTGTAAGTGGAACTTAAAAAAACTTTACTTAAGTACATAAAAGTAAGATAGATATTTGGCATATTAACTGTAGAGCACATGCTAACAAATTCACTTGTTGGTCATATAATTGTGTAAATTCCTTGTGGTTTTTCTCTGTAAACAAAGATGTCGTCTGTGAATCAAGAGAGTTTATACCTCTTTCTTCTTGACCATTAATTCCTTTATTTCCTTTTGCTTATCTTTTTGAGCTAGTTAGATGTGTTATTCATCTTCTCATTTCATGTAAATGGAGATATAAAATGTGTTTTTTTGAATTTTATTTCTTTCTCTCAATATTATATTGAGATATATATGTTTGGGTTTTGGGGTTTTAGGGGTGATTAGTTATAATTCTATGAATGTTTATGAATCCACTCCATTTTGTAATGAATAGTTACCTTTTCAATTTAAGGCTATTCTGTGTACTGTTTCTCTGAACATTCTAGTAGATTTCTGTTAGTGCCGGCATGGATGCATTTCTGTTGGGTTTAATGCCTTCGAGTGGAATTGCTGGGTAGCAGATTATACTCTTATGTTCTGTTTTCTTTGTCCTTATGTGAATTGACCATTCTTAACCCTTTACTATCTTTACGATGGGTTCTAAAGAGAGTAGACATAAACGCGTGTGTTTATTTCTCAATTTTAAACCAGAAGTGACTTATTATGTTCTCTGATTTTTCTCACTCCTTTCATTTATCATTGCATCTGCTTGAGTCAGACAAGACATACGGCCCTTCCTTGCTTTCTTTCAAAAAGAGGGTCATGCCTTTTGCCTTCATGACTTCTTCCCATCTCCTACCCTGCCCTTCTTACAAGCTGCATGCCCATATCCTGCCCGAGGCCCCCAGCAGTGCCAGGGCTCTAGATTCTTCTCTTCTTACCCGTGCTTTGGGTAGTTATTTCAATAGAGCGATTCTTATAAAATGTTAGTCAGCTTTAACCAAACTCAGACACATGCTTTCTTGGCCGTCATAGGCATGCTAAAGGCCACATAATCCGGAGAGGAGAAATCTTGTTACAGCATTGGAAATTAGGCTGCATCTTCTGTGTGTGTGTATACAGCTTAGTCCTCTAGTAGACAAGGGCAGGAAATACCACTCATATCGTTCAGCAGAAAAAGTCCAAGAGAAATCCCTGCTAGACGTGAGATTTGGGGATTCTTGAAAGTGTTTGTTTATGCCCTTCTTCATCTAGCAACTATTTTAAGAACATCTGAAAAGATACTCAGAGTATAGGCATTTATCATTTTACAAATGTTAGCGGTTCTTACAATATTTAGTGGAGACTGATTTTTATTTTTATTTTTAACATTTTATTAGGGGCTCATACAACTGTTATCCCAATCCATACACACATCAATTGTGTAAAGCGCATTTGTACATCGTTTCTCAAAACATTTTCTCTCCATTTAAACCCCCGACATTAGGTCCTCATTTTTCCCTTCCCTCCCTGAGACTGATTTTTAAAAGTTGAATTAGAATTTTAATTTCAAGGGACATATGATGGATCCTGTTGTAAAACAAATAATGGTGTTAGAAATACAGCATCTGATTTAAAGACTACATTTGCACATTTGCCTGATCCCAGAAATGGATACGAAAGAATTTTAGTCTTTGACATAAAAGAAACCTAAAATTAGATGCAAATACTTCAACTATAAACTAGCTGTAACTGTGTTCAAGTAACTTTAGCCTTTTGAGCCTCAATGTATTTATCTGTAAAATGGGGATGATTATATCACTTAGATTTGTTGCCAAGCTCCTATTTAAGATTACATAAAAATGTCCATCAAATTTAAGGATGGTCTGGAGTGTTGTTTTTAAAATTTGATTATGAGTACAGAGAGTATAGAGAACAAATAAAACTCATGGAAAATATATTAGGAAAGTTAAGGTAGATTTGACACCTCAAGTAGGTTAGCCATGGGTAAATATATTTAGAATTATACTAACACACTTAACGCCAAGATTTTCCCCAGCGTTAATCACTTATTTGGATACATTACATCCAAGGCAAAAACATCTCTTTCCTGACACTTCATGTAAACAATGCACTCATGATCAATTGCTTTAAATATTTATCAGAAGGATAGAAGAGGAAGTGAGCTCAACCAAAGGAGTTCCTCTGGAGCCTTTGAAAGAGCCTTTCAAAGTCCTGCCAGCATGGCCTCTACCCTGAGACGAATGATCAGCTAATCACCTGCTTTTGTTTCTCTAGGGAGAAGCTGGCGGTGGCCCAACTGCAGCGAGAAGTTGCCCAAAGGAGAAGTGAGGGAACCATGGTAAGTCCTGGCCGGTCCCTCCTGGTCCTCAATCTGCCACTCGGAGACCTCTTGCCTGAAAAGCATTCTGTCTCGCGAAGAGGCTATCTGAGGAAAATATTTGCTTACAGCAGATTTAATGATGTGTTCACAATGCAGTGTAGACCATTCTGCTGTTGGGAGGGGGAGGAGAAGTCCTGTGTGTATGTGTATGAGAGGATGGCCTGTGTGTATGTGTGAGAGAGGTTGTGTGTGGGTATAAGAACGAGAGAGACAGAAGTAGCAGAGAAAGGGAGAGTGTGAGGGCATGTGGGTGGGCGTGAGAGAGACTTGGTTCTGAAGATGATGTTCCAAAGGTGATCTGGCTTCATTTTATAAATGCCTGTTGGATGCCCAGGCTTCCGGCCGGGAGCATGTTGTTCATACATGAGGATTCTTAGTTTTTAGAGGACAATTGCACCTCACGGAAGCCAGTCAGATCCGCAGACTTGTAAAACAGCCGGAAGGACGGTACGATGCTTGCATGTACACGTGTCCTTTCTTGCTCCTTGGCGCTGTTGGCAACACCTGCCTCCCTGTCCTCTTCAACTGATGCCGTTTGGAGAACTGATGCTTCCGGGTGTGTTGAATTGGACGAAGAATCAGCATGGTTGTTTGGGTTCACAGCAACTCTACTCTCTAGACTGCCTTTGCCCACATGCCTGCCGGTGTGCCACTCTGCCAGCAGAGGTGCTGTCTGGTGACCCAGAGCAGGATGTGCATACATCTAGCTGCTGCTAATCCCTCTGAAATGAAAATCTAGTGGCAGAGGTTTCTTTCCCCCCATTTCTGATAAAGGATGGCATTTTTCAGGAGAAGAATTAGCTGGAAGCGATCTCACCCAGGTTGCTGTTCAGCATAAAAAACGTAAGACCTTATGTAAAAATGTTCTAGTAGGCCACTGGACATCCCCTTACAGAAGTGTCTCAGGGAGGAGACAAGCCAGTCAGGGTGCGATGTAGCAACGATGAAAAATACAACTTTCCTCTAGTTCCTAAATGCTCCCCCGCCCTTATCATGATCCGAACTCTACCTTGCAAGTCTGGGTAGACCAGAGGATGTACACTGGTACAGATAGGAACTGGAAACACAGGGAATCCAGGGTGGATGATCCCTTCAGGACCAGTGGTGTGAGTGGTGATACCAGGAGGGCAGAGGGAGGGTGGGTTGGAAAGGGGGAACCGATTACAAGGATCTACATATAACCTGGCCCCTGGGGGACGGACAACAGAAAAGTAGGTGAAGGGAGACGTCGGACAGGGTAACAATTTATAAATTATCAAGGGTTCATGAGAGAGGGGGAGCAGGGAGGGAGGGGAAAAAAAGAGGACCTGATGCCAGGGGCTTAAGCGGAGAGCAAATGTTTGGAGAATGATGAGAGCAATGAGTGTACAAATGTGCTTTACACAATTGATGTATGTATGGATTGTGATAAGAGTTGTATGAGCCCCTAATAAAATGATTGGGAAAAAAAGAAAAGAAAAAAATGTTCTAAAAAAGAAAAAGTTTATTCTAATTGCTGAACAAATAGTTGGAAAAATCACCAGTGTTTTATTTCCCTTATTTTGATGATGGTGATACATTTCTTTAACCTTTTGAAATCTGTTTACGGCGTTTCTACTGTGTCCAGCTGTGTCTTGGCATCAGTGGGCAGAGACACAATCTTCCTGCTTCTAGTAAAAGTCAGCCGGTGGGCAGGGCAATGAGGAAAAGGGCCTGGTGAAGTGGGAGGGGGTAGGCTAGGAGACTGCAGTATTAAAGAGCCTATGCTACCAGTAGCAAGGAGCCTTCCTGGGTGGTGTAGTGGTTACTCACTGGGCTGCCGTCTGCAAGGTCTCGAGTTGGAAACCCGTAGCCGCTCCAAAGGGGAGAGGTGGGGCTTTCTGTTCCCACGAACTGTTACAGGCTCAGAAACCACAGGGGCAGGTCTACCCTATCCTGTGGGGCCCGCTATCAGTTGGCATTAGCTTGATGGCAGTGAGTTGTTGTTTTAGTGGTACCAAATCCCTGAAATATTAATTTTTGAGCCAATCTGAAGGAAGCGGGCAGGTGAGTCATGGAAGCAGCCCAGGCCAGGGGAAGCCAGGCAGTGTCAAGGCCGGTGGTGTGAGGACTGCAGGAAGGCTGCTTTGGCTGGTGGGCAGGGAGGGGAAGGCCCTAGAGGAGTTAAGTCAGAGAAGAGATCGCGGCTCAGGGCACGTCCTCCTGAGCCCCCTGGATCTCTGGGCCACACTTTGAGTGATGAGAGCCATTGGAAGACTTCGAAGGAGAGAGTGATGTGATATGATTTAATACTAGATACATGCTATCATTCATTCTCCCATCCCAGAATTGCTCATATCTCGGTTCCCTAGAGGTACCCGGAACCCTGATTTATCACCGGTTCCCTTTGTTTTATTTCCTCCCTTCTTTCTCAGTAACATTTTCTCCCTCTCGACTTACTTGCTCAAACCCCTCTGAGTTCTCCCTTTTCTTACGTTCAGCTTTTCTGCTTTAAGAATCCATTTTTTTCCACCCTGAAGTCCAGTTTCTCTCAATATCTGGCAGCTCCTAAAATCTGGCTGTTTTATTAATCCTCTGGATACAATTCTTGCTGCTATAAGCCCCAAACTTCTGGCCTTTCTGCGGTAGGAATGGAGAAGGGGTTGCCCCTAGCAGGTCACCATTAATTTATAAAGACGACGTTTACTGTGAACCCCACTGCCCTTGAGCCGGTTCTAACTCACTTGAACCATGGAGGACCGAAGAGTACTTGCCACATCAGGCCTCCAGGCCTAGGAGTCTGTCTGGAAGTTTCTTTAAGCCACAGGGCAGCAGCTGGTAGATGTGACCCACCCATCTGTCAGTTAGCAGTCAAGCACTTGACCACTGTGCTTCCCAGCCTCATCTTAGTAACTGGTCATTTTAAAAATCATTATGATCAGAAAGGTCCTGTGGAATCTGTTATAGAAGAACTCGTTTTAAAAAGAGACATTTAATTAAACCGAGGCAAATATTTATTTAAAAATACTAAACAAGTCTGTTATAAATAAAATTTAATGCAGAACATTTCCTTTATCTTTATACATCGAATGAATCTTCGCTCACAATACATTTCAAGAAAGTATCTATAGCATTCTTTTGAGAGACTAATTGTTTTAAATGTACTTTCCCTTTGGAATAATTACAGAATTACAGAAAAGTTGCAAATGTGCACACCCGTTAGCCAATTTCCCCGAGAGCTGATATCTTGGGAAACTCTGATACAACTGAAAATAGCTAAGAGGTAAACATTAGTATATGACTATAAAGTTCATTCTAGAGTTTGTTAGAATTTTATGAATGATTCCACTTTTCTGTGTCTATCTTCAGTTCTGGAATCCAGCCCTGGCTGCCAACTTATGATTTTAATGGCTAGCTTGAGCACAGAAGTAGGCGTAGAGGGACCATGAGTTAGGAGTCAGTCAGGTCTAGAGTCAAAGCCCAAGTCCTGCAGTAATTAACGATGCTACTTTAGACCCGTCATGTGACTGGTGGTTATGAATTCTGTATGCTCTTTGATTCTGCTCTTCTTTTTTTTTATCTATATAACCCCCTCCCTGAGGGACGGACAACAGAAAAGTGGGTGAAGGGAGACATCGGTCAGTGTAAGACATGAAAAAATAATGATTTATAAATTATCAAGGGTTTGTGAGGGAGGGAGAGAGGAGAAAAATGAGGCGCTGATACCAAGGACTCAAGTAGAGAGAAAATGTTTTGAGAATGATGATGGCAACAAATGTACAAATGTGCTTGACACAATGGATGCATGTATTGATTGTGATCAGAGCTGTATGAGCCCCCAATAAATTGATTTAAAAAAAATAAAATAAACTTTAAAAAATCTTGAAACACCCTGCCCCCCCCCCCAAAAAAAAAATAAGGAAAATAGTCTGGTAAAATAACCAATTATTCAATACCATGGGTCGGCAAACTTTGGAGATGGAAGAGTCAATCCTGTCCTTCATAACACCTTAAAAATTATTCCAGAGCCATATATATATATTTTTATAACGAAATCACCATTCTCTGAATAGTGTCCTGTAAATTAAACCATGAGAGTTTCATTTTCATTTTGATTTTGACTTCAGAGCCACATGTACATCCTTAGGGAAAGAGCTGCCCATGGCTCCAGAGCTGCAGTGTACCCACCAAAGTCAAGGCCCTTTGAACACTCTATTAACCTGGGTTTGGGTTTCCTCCTCTAGCACAGTGGTTGTCACCCTTCCTAATGCGACCCTTTACTACAGTTCCTCATGTTGTGGTGACCCCCCAACCATAAAATTATTTTCGTTGCTACTTCCTAACTGTCATTTTGCCACTGTTATGAATCCCGTAACCCCTGTGAAAGGGTCCTTCAACCCCCAAAGGGGTCGTGACCCACAGGTTGAGAACTGCTGCTCTAGAAACAAGGGATGGTAATTAGAATGTCAACAAGCACCTGGGACAATGTCTGGCATTTACAAGTGCCCTGTGATGCCTACCATGGTGATTGTTGTCATCGGCTGTTCCATCCCAGTCTTTCTCCGGGACTACTCTGCCTCAGGAGTGATTGACCGAGAAAGACCTAATCCGACTGGACTGATTCTGCTCTTTCATGTCTTCATTTTGGGTATGGTTTCCTTCAGGAATTCAAAGTCTTATGTCTATTTGACTTGTTCTTCATTTCTTCTTCCAGAAAATAACAATCGGCATTGCTTTTTCCTTTTTAACTATTGCAAAGATAGAGGTAGCCCATTTGCCAACTTCACATGTTTCTACAATTATGTGTAACATGAGCTATACAATTCAGTGCAAGCAATGACACCAGTCTTGTACAACTGGCACCAACATTCATTGACATGGTTGCCATCCTCACAAACAGGAGCTCCCTGCTAGCCAAACAGATATTCCCTGCTTTGCCCTTTTCTTCCATCCCCTGTAGCTATATTAAATTCTCATCTGTAAGTGTTCACTCTAAGAGT